GGACAGAAAAAAAAAAACTGTAACCATCGTTAAATATTCCTCTTGATTCATGTATGTGTAATTATTTTCTATGTAAAAACTGTTTTCAACTACAAGCTTTATTATTTAAAAAATGGAAACAAATATTTTGGGGAAATAATCGTTTAATTTATAAAAATTGACTAAGATAATAAGTAAGCGACTGTAAGAAATTAAAAGGATTGAATATATAAAAATTTATGTATCATTGTTAGGTAGCAGACATTAATTTAGTTCAAGAATGTATTTTCTTGTTAAATTAAAAAAATTTAAGATTATAATTCATAAAAAAAAAAAAAACTTGAAAAAAATAAGGAGTAAAGATAAACAAAATTAAGTAAGACTGAATGGTTGTAACAATAACTTATTGTGCATTGAAATAATTTGTTCACTGAAAATTTTAATATTTATTGTAAACGTTAGCTAATTAAGCTTGACTTGATTAATTAAAATTGTTAATTTTAAAAAACCAACAGTTTGATGAAAAAATCTTTCATTATATTGGAAAACAAAAAATTTTCCTAACGTTCCAAATTTTTTTAGAAGCCATCGTTAACATGAATCAGAGCCAAGGTGTCACAAAAATGGTCCCGAATCACGATTCCCCAGATAAGTCGAATAAATTATTGCCAAAGATTCTCCGGGACTTGATCCTCGAAGGGATGTTTCATTGGCTTTAGCCATCGTATACTTACCCTCGATATGATTAATTGACCCGCTCAAGCGTCAGCTGCACGAAAAAATCCGAAACAACGCAAGTATATAATATATACTCTCCTCGGAGACACGCGCTTACCCTCGAGCCACCGGAAAAATCACGCGTAAAGTATACCTACTCGAATAATGACAAATGCCATGTTCTCAACGGCACCGTTTTACGATCCAAACTGCTCTCCGTAGAGTCAAAAAAAAAAAAAAAAGAAAAGAAAAAGAAAAAAAGTGAAATGAAAAGCAGCTCCGGTAAACATATAACAAGGGGTAAAATATATATATACCTGCATCATAGGAAGAAGAACAGCCCTGCAGTACGCGTGGCCTCATACACACATGTACATCCGCATGACCGGTACACATACACATGCATCTGCAGCAGCTTTTAGCCGGCAATCGGGGGAAAGGACAATGGTAATGGGCGTGAAATTTCGGAATCATACGTATACATCTCCTCTGCGGGATGCGCTGACAAATTTTCGTTTTATAGCCGCGCCCGCAGAGAAAAGAAGAAGAAGAAGAAGGAGGAGGCCAGGTGTCCCGTGACTCCCCCTTCCGATGTACTTTTTGGCTTTTCCGCTTGTAGTGTTTGGTCTGTTTGATTCTTCCCTTTCTTCTTCTCCTTCATCCTTGTGATTTTAGACAGGAAGGTGGAAGATCGATGCGTCCCGGGTCATATATATACACAATACACTTCTCTTTCGTACCTTGTATATATATCTACGCTTCGTTGTCTAACTCGTATTAGAGATATACATATACTTATATTATGTGCGTGTTATTTTTTCCCCCTTCAAAAAAGGACTCTCGGTCAAGGTGTCTCTTCAGTCGGTCGTGGAGTATAGAGAGGCAAACACGATTCTCGTTACAGGATCTCGATTCGATGCACACGCGATCCCGTAAAAGTCACGCGTCACCTGAGCTTTCCTTTTCATCCTTCACGCTGTGAGGCCGTCGAGACAAATTCCTTGGATTTCCAATTTTTACGTGATGCTCTTATCGCGCTTGTTTACCCTCGTTTCTTTTGAAGCTTCCACAACAACACACGATAAGAAAGATCCACCGTTGGCAACTTTTGTACACATGTACATGTACATATAGATAACCCAGTAAGAAGTATAATGTACGGAACAGGAAACACGCATCGATAAGAGGTTCGGTTTTTTGGGACGATAATCAATACACGCGTAAGCACGCGAAATGGATACAAAAATGTACACGAGTATATATATATATATATATATATCTGTGGCTTCCCTGACAAACCGATTAACTCCATTTTTTTCAAAATTTAGTTGGTACCGGAAAGCACATCCTTTTTCAGTCTACTTTCGTCCAAACAAACTTTTGAAATGATCCGAGTTACCAAGTTTCCTTTTTTTGAATATTCACAAATTGGAATAAGAGAAAATTAGTTCCACGTTTCCGGCCTAACCGATCAACTCCAAAAGCGACTCGTAAAATTATAGTCTTGTGTTAGTACCTAACGCTATAGTGTACAGAAAGAAGCGCTCAGTTTCTGCGCTGTGAAAAAGTAGCTTTTCAATCTTTAGAAGCCGTTAATTTTTCTCGTAAATCACAAAAATGGAATTAATCGGTTTGTCCGAGAAGCCACAGGTGTTTCCTACGATTCCAAAGCTATATCCAATTTGGTCATATTGTTTCGCTTAGATTGTCCCCATACGCACCCCCGAACCAGTATGAAAAAAAAAAAAAAAAAAAACGAATTATCGCAGGGAACAGTTAACCACACGCGTTATATTACTGTCCACGTAAACCGATAAAAAAAAAATTAGGGGAAGGAGATGGTCACGAATAGGTATAAACACAGGCGAACGTACATTCTTCAGCCCACCCCATCGACCCGAAGAAGAAGGTCATTGTACAAAGTCACAAAGGTAAATTTTTCCCGTCTCGAGCGAAACAGTGACGGGAGAGACAGTAGTACATGCAATATATATATATATATATATATGTATTCTGTACAAGGAGAGTCGACATAAAGAGAGGGCGCGGGCGCGTGTGCGCGCAGTCAAAAGGAAAAACGGAAGAGGAAAGGAAAGGTGTGTCCGCAATATCGATTTCCCGCGGGGGGCGCATCAGTAGCCCTCATGTGGGCGTTCCTCTGTTTCTTTTTCTTCCCTTCTAATGCTCTCGTAAAAGGCCCTGTATTAAGGGGGCAACAGAGCACGAGCCTCTTCTTCTTCCTCCTCTTTTTCGCCCTTTTCAAGACCGTGTGTGTATATCATAGGTGTGCACGACAAAAAAAAAAAAAAAAAAAAAAGAGAGAAAGAGAACACGCGGGGTAGTCCTGTGCGGCTAATTTTGTCAGCTGCTGCCGTTCGACGCGTCGATGATAAATCTGTGACCCTCACGATTGCTCGGGAAACGTATACGTGTACACGTCAAGCTTGTGGTTGATGTATTGGTATAGGCAGATATAATATGGGCCCTAAATGGGACAAGAATGGAGGAGACAAATGATGGAGGGGCAAGGGCCCAAAAGAGATGCTGTATAGCCCAGTGGTGTGCGTGCGGTGTATGTTGTACATAGGAGGTGCATCATCGAGCGTGACGAAATTCCAGCTCAATTTGATACGTATTTTGGACGTTTTTTGGACATTACGCCTAAAAAGTGCTTCTAAACAGTACAATGCTCTGCCAATTATCGTGTGTGGTATCTCCAGAGAATTTACGGCATTCATTTGATGACTTTTACTTTCATCTTAAGTAAGTCTTATACCCGAAAAATACCCGAACGCGATGCGAGTGGACGAAAAACTATAC